AGAGAGCTTTGATTCACAGCACTGCAAAACAATGACTGTATCTACCAAAAATAATAGGAAATTCCTGGTCTCTAGTATTTTTCAGTGTGATGTCATTTGGAAGTGGAGCCTTGCTGCCGTAGTAAAATTATCCTAGTTTCTTTTCTGTTGCTGTGATAAAGAACTTATTCTGGTTCACAACTGTAAGGTACAGTGCATTGTGAGTGTTAACTCAAGGCAGCAGGAGCATGAAGCTGCTGGTCAATGTCCACAGTTGGGGTTCCAGAGGATAAATGCTCTCCATTGACACAGTCTGCATCTGCCCAAGGAGTCATCCTACCCCACTTCAGTGACTCTTCCCATATCAGTTAATATAACTGAGATAATCCCTCCTGAGACTGATAGGCTAGCCTTGGAGAGAATCCCTCACAGATGTATCCAAAGGATGGTTTTAGGTGTTCTTAGGTGAGTCTGGATGTGGTCAGTTTGACCGTACCAGCCATCTAACCATGCATCACAAAAATAAAAATGAGATCAAAGAACAGAGACCTTGGTGATTCTGACAGAGGCCGAGATTGCAGTGATGTAGCTGGGGAAACCCACAGAAACAGCTGACCTGAGCAAGTGGAGCTCACAGACATCAGAGAACCAACATAGGACTGAACCAAGTCTCTTGAGCATGGTTGTCAGTTAGGAGGCCTGGGCAGCCTCTGACAGTGGAACCATTATTTATCCCTAATGTACAAATGGACTTTCGGAGCCCCTTCGAGGGATACTCTCTCAGCCTAGATACAAGGGCGAGGGTCTAGGCCCTGTCCCAAATGATGTGACAGACTTTGATGATCCTCCATGGGATGGCTCACCCTCCCTGGGGAGTGGATTCGGGGTGGCATGGGGGGGGATGGGAGGGAGAAGGAACTGGGATTGATAGGTAAAATAAAAATAAATTAAATAAAAATATTTAATAAAAAATCAGTAAGGTTATTCCAAACATGGTATGAAATGGAGCTTAGAACCACACATCATGGCAGCAGAAGCTGGTTACAGTACACACCTACAATTAACATTATTTGGTGGTTCTGGGCTGGATGGGGTGGTGGAGAATTTAGAATTGCTGTTGAGCTTATGGTCAGCATAGGATACATAGAAAGACTCTATGTCAAACCAGACAAAACCTAAACAAAAATTGCTGAAATGGATCCCTCTTTTGAGACAGGTTCTCAATTGTTTAGGCTGTTCTGGCCTCAAACTGTAATACCCCTCTTTAAAGTGGTCTCTTAGGAAAACTTGCTTATAGGGACATTTCTGAAGTTAAAAAGTGTAGTAACCCGTCAGTGTTATGGGCAAATATGTTAAATATCTTTCCTTTGGAGTGGTAATTCTGGAAACTTTGTTATGTTCCCTGTCTTATTTTAAGTTTCTATTGCTGTGATAAAACACCATGACCAAAAGCAGCTTGGAGAGAATGAAGACAGAACTTTGGATCAGAGGAAGGATTTATATCCTCTTTGAAAATTTAAATCTGATGTTAAACATTGCTGAACAGTAAATTCTGGTAACTGGTCTGCATACAAGCAGTGTTAGGACTCCACTCCTTAACACTTCTCAATTTTCTTTTTTATGCTTATGGACATTCTGAGACCACACAGTAGAATTTTGTAGTTTACTTCCTCAAGCATCTCAAAGTATGGTTGTTCATACTGATTTTGTTTTGCCAATTTTAGGTTGGGTTTATTTTCAGCTAAGCTTAGGCTTTACACTTATGGAATATTTGTTTACACTGTAAATATGTGTCTCTGCCTAAGGTGCCTTCTGATTGATTTAATAAAGAGCTGAATGGCCAGTAGCTAGGCAAGAGGGATTAGGCAGGACTTCTGGAGAGAGGATTCTGGGAAGAAGAGAGGCAGGGAATCACCAGTGAGAGGAGACCAAATAGGACATACAGAATGGAGGAGAGTAAAAAAGCCACATGGCAAAACGTAGGTTAACAGAAGCAAGTTAATTTAAGTTATAGGATATACTTGGGGATAAACCTGTGCTAAAGGCCAAGTTTTCATAATTAATAACAAGTTTCCATGTTGTTATTTGGGGCTGGTGATCCAAAGATTGTGTGACAAGAAAGCTTGGCAAGACCTTACTTTCGTATGTATGTCCTTTCTTACAGGTATTCTCCATCTCATGCCTGGAAGTACTCATAGAATTATGTTTTCATTTCTGAAGAGCAAAGGAGACAGGACACTGCGGTTTTGCATTGCCTGTACAGTGTTGAGACCCTGTAACATTTACCTTTGAGTAAAGTTGCATATTGTTTAAAATGAAATCCCAAGTATTGGTTTTCTTGACTATAACCTCAGTGAACTAGAATTCTCAGGAACAAACTCTAATCTTTTATTGTTACAAAACCATACTTTGTTCTACTATGAACTCACTTTAGAAATTTAGTATTAGTGTTTTGAATTCTAAGCTAGATCTCTGATCTTCCAGTACTAAAGAATATTGTTCCCGGGCATTGGTGGCGCACGCCTTTAATCCCAGCACTCAGGAGGCAGAGGTAGGTGGGTCTCTGTGAGTTCGAGGCCAGCCTGGTCTCCAGAATGAGTGCTAGCCACACAGAGAAACCCTGTCTCGAAAAACCAAAAAAAAAAAAGAATATTGTTTATGTAGACATTTGTATTGCTTCTCCCTCAGGTGTGGACACCTCAAGATCGCC